GGCCCCTACATGACTAAAACCCTAAACCCTAAACCCTAAATCCAAACTAAGCCAGGCAGGTGGAGAAGAGGTGACAAAAAATAAAAAAGCCTAAACCCTAAACTCAGGTTCTACCACGAGGCTGGCACCGTGAACTTCGAGGATCCCCCTCCCATGGCTGAGGCCACCGTGAGCCCAGGGCCCAGAGAGGAGAGGCCCCTTAGGAGGGACGGCGGTTTCGAGTTTTGGGGGTTGCAGGGTTATGGAGTCTCTAGGGTTTTGGGGTTGCAGGGTTATGGAGTCGCTAGGGTTTTGGGGTTGCAGGGTTATGGAGTCTCTAGGTTGTTGGGGTTGCAGGGTTATGGAGTCTCTAGGTTGTTTGGGTTGCAGGGTTGCGGAGTCTTTAGGGTTTTGGGATTGCAAGGTTGTAGAGTTCAGGGTTTGGGGGTTATTGCAGGGTTGTGGAGTCTTTAAAGTTTTGGGGTTGTAGGCTTGTGGAGTTTAGGGTTTTGGGGTTTAGGCTTGTAGAGTTCAGGGCTGAGGGTTGTAGGGTTTGGGCTTGTAAGGAGGGTTTGGGGGGGTTTGGGGTTTTGCACTCCACAGGTCCTTCATAGTGGCGATAGCTATGAACAGACTGTGCATCATTCTGCTATGGTCAGAACATGTCAGAGCTAGAAATTTCACCAGTCTTGCAACCAGCAAGATGGCAGTTCCTTGAGCAGTGGCTGTCGTTGTCCTCGCCATGCTAGGAGCAGTGGCAGTTTCATTCACAGCGCAGTTGCTGCGCCTGTTGCAATGCTGGTACCCATGTTAGACCGAACAGTAGTATCACCACCATTGGCTTGTCGTCGCATGTCGTCGCAGTAGCAGCAGCAGCAGTCGTCGTACTAATAATGGTAGTGAGGGGAGGAGGACAAGCCCAGTAATAGACTGGCTTGCTCGTGACGTCGATGTCTCAACGCTGTGTGGATGAGTTTTGCATGTTGCATCTGGCCTGCCAAAGAGCCTCCGACTTGTCAGGATCATGTTGTTAAAGGGAGTGCTGAGTTGGAAGTTGAAATAGGTAGAGTGGCTGGGGAGAGACAATCATGCGAACTGCGTCTTGGAGGAGTCTTAGATGGGGTTCGTCAAGTATCGCATGCGGTGCATCCGTAATCGTAACATTCGGCAGCACGTGTGGAGCTTTGTAGAACCCTAAACCCTAAACCCAATAGAAAATTTGGCCATAGCATCTCCCAGGTCTCTCAACCAAGATGCAGGAGGCAGTTGCTCCCATCATCATTGCCTTCAAAACGACGGTCGCGGACCCAGGTGCACCGAATCCAGAGCAACCGCTGTGCAAGTAACACAAATATAGGCAGAAATGCGAACACACATTCGTACCTAAGGAGACAAGAAGATGTAGCAAATGCATAAGTAAATACATGAACAACAAATGTGCATAGGTATGTATACATACATACATACATGCATACATACATACATACATACATACATACATACATACATACATGGATTTAATTATTTCGTAATTACGTAATACACAGTATACACACATGTGTATGTGTATATATATATATATACATGCGTACATATATATATATATATATATATATATATACGTATGTATATATATATATACATATATATGTCTATATGTAGATGTAAACAGCTGTGAATTAGGGCCTCGCTCGTTCTTGCAGACCTTGTCCGCACCAAGGCGGGCAGATCTGAGTATGCCTCGCCCACAGGGTCTGCGACCTCAGAAATCGGAGAGTGGTGCGTCGATGGTCATGGGTTTTTACTTTACGGTTCGGGGTTTTTGGGTTTAGGGTTTAGCGTTTTCGGGGTTAACGGTTTCATAAGCAGCTTTCGAAATGGAAGGAGAGCACGGTCAAATCTCTCCATTACATGAGTCACGTCTTGTGTAAACCTGCAGGCACGCGCAGGTTTGCCGGTACTGGGCTAGAGGTGCGAAACTGTGCGACCTGCAGATGTCTACACACATCAAATCTGAAGATGTAGGGGGAATCTGGATTGCAGGGTTTAGAGGCATGTAGATTTGTGCGTCAGTTGACTTGGAGATAAAGAGGTGTGCCATCGCACAGTAGGTGCCTGGTAGATGGCTCATAGGCAGAAAGATGAGACGGATTCTGCTAGGGGTGAGCTCTCTCCCAATTAGAATCGCGGCTTGGAAGGGCATCAGCCCGACGTGCCAGACAAAAGGCATAGCGGCATAGCACAAAGCACCTTGCCTTCTGAGGCAAACCATGCTTATGCTGCGATTCATGGACGTCAGCACCAAGCATCTTGCTTGCATTCGCTCTTTAACTCGATCGCAGGAGCTTTATGCAGTTCATATTGTCACTTGCTTGGTAGCGTTGCATGACGCCAGCATCGACTCCAAACCAGGGTCAGGCAAATGCTTCTGTAGATTGCTCTCCGGCCGGTATCCCTCTTGCGTCAATCTTGGAATATGTCTGGGCCCAAGCTGGAGAAAACTTAACATCAAATCCCCTGCGAGCCAGGTTGGAGCCCTTCTTCTACTCAACCGAGCAGGGTATCCGTGGCGTCTATGCCATGCCGGATTACCAGGCCCGGGCAGGGGAGGTGAGTTTTGTGTGGCGAAAGCAGGTTGAGCCATGGCCTCCATAGGAAGATCACTAGCTTCACGGGGTGTGGTAACTGCATGGAGATGCGAAGCTGTTGGTGACCTCATCTGCCAGGAAGTCACGAAGGATCAGCAGAAGCAGCACGTGCTGAACTCAGCTTATGCTTTCGACTGACTTATTATACTGACTTCCGAAAGTAAGGGATACCTTATTTGGGGTCCTTATAATAAGGATCCTACTATTTAGGGTACTATATCAGGGTCCCCCATTTCTTATCCATGCAAGTCTAACACAGCTGTCAACCCACTGCTTCTGTCAAAGCTCCGGCACCTCCATCGAAAGGCGGAAACTAGGGCGAAACCTGTCTCTTTACGTGTCCGTTGCATACTTTGGGCTTGCGTGGGTTACCCTGAAGCCTGCCTAGCCGCAGGCTTAGGCTGGTATCCTCTGGAGAGCCGTCGGGGTGTCGTTTAGCCAGACGACAAGTCGCCTCCGCAATCGCGCAGCTGAAACTCAAGCTCAGGTCTGTGGCAAGATCTTTACCGAGTTCTGGTCCAGTCACTCGGAGGCTCTGGCAGCTGACACGCTCTGATCCGGGCATCAGTGCATGCCCATGCGATGTACGCGATGACTTTAGTGTCATTGCAGCGCATGCGAAGGGCTTCCCCATGCCGGTTGGCTGCTACTACTCGCAGAAGCTCTCGGACTTGCCAACAACAGGCGGCCGGAATCTCAAGCTCTCACAACCCTGCAACCGAACCACTGCCCTCGCCCCCCCCCCCCCCCCCAGCCCACCCACAGGGCTCGGATGACCTGCGCCTGACAATCAAGCAGTCGGCCCCAGAAATTTTCTCGTGCCTGCTTGAGCCACGAAGCCCAGGCTCCATCTTTTTCCGCGAGATCTACATCACCTTTGGGGTAACTCACTCAGACTTATATCTGCCGGGCTATTTGACCCGAGGATTTTGGAGTTTCATCGTCGTTCCACTCCAAGTCCTCAATCCTCAAGCAGTGCAAGATGCACCCCACGCCCTAAACCAAACCCTAAGCCCTAAACCCACGCCCAGGAGAGGAACGGTTTGCGGGAGAACACCGAGTATCACATTGTGCTGAATGCGGCCGCTGTGCTGCAGTTTAGGGTGTGGGGCTTTAGGGTGACATGAAGGGCTTAGGAATCTTGGAGTTGACGATTTGGTTCGGGGATATCACATGATGGATAGATAGATAGGTGGATAGATGGATAGATGGATAGTAGGATAGAAGGATAGTAGATAGAAAGATAGATAGATAGACAGATAGTCACGCCGTCTGATCGAGAGAGAGAGAGAGATGCATAGATCGATAGATCGATCGAGCGATTAATATGGCTGTTTACCTCGTATACATCTATGTATGTATATGTTATTGTATATGTATGTACATATGTACGCCTGCATGCATGCATGCATGTGCATGCATGCATGCATGCATGCATGCATGCATGCATGCATGCATGTAAGTGTTATATGTATACATACATATGCATATGAGTATAGTTTGCTGTTTCGTGTCTTGGGTCTACGACGCTTTAGGCAGTGCTTCGCGACCCGGCAACCATGCTCTTTACCGAAATGAAAGGGGTCGGAAATTGGGTTTAAGGTTCCTTCACTATAGTTCCTTGTGGGTTATGTATTATAGTCCCTGTAGAGTAAAGCATGTTGTACCATCCGAGCCCTATTCCAATTCTTGAGGCCCCTTTCTTCAGCCCCAAGCAAGCATCCTAAGTGTAACATACTGGAAAAACGTAATCGTAGTGTTTTCTATGGTCCTTGAAGAACGGGTGATTGTGCATCGATGGTTTATTTTGGAGTAAGCATCAAATCGTAGAGATCCTGCACCCCCAAATGGTCTAAGCTTTAAGATCCAAGCTCTGTTTTCTTGGATGCTTGGCTCGGTACATGGGTTTTTTGTCAACTCCAATTCCTTCAAGAACCCTAAACCCCAAACCCTAATTCAGGAAATCCAATTCTTCAACATGGGCGACCAGCTCGTGGATATCTACGCCATGTGTGCGGGCTTCACCGGCTGCTCGAGGCAGCTACCCTCCTTGTTGAGAGCTGGTTCTGGTTTAGGGTTTAGGGTTCTGGTACCGCTTCCGCTGTCCTCCTCCTCCTGCTCATCCTGCTCCTCTTCCTCGCAGTCCCACTCTCAGCCACTTTGCCACTCCCACGCATCCAACAACTGCCGCGGCGACCACCGCCACGGCGACCACGACCACCACGACAACCACGACAACCAC